ATCCATCACAACTGCAGACTCCAAAACAATGTCCTAACCACCATCAAATTACTTTCAACATGTTTTGGAAATTTTTTTTTCTTTCGTTAAGTGGATATTTCAACCAGAAGTGTCTTCAGCAGTGATCACAGAGTTATCTTACCATAATAAAGTTGAGTGTGCAAAGAACACAGAAGGCTGTATTGGAAAATGGTGTTAAATTCCTTGTTATAACCCAAGTACTACTTTCAGGCAGATTTCGTTGAGCTGTTAAAAAAATGGATATAGGAAAACCAGAAAACCCAAGACAGCTGACAGGAATAACCAGAGGCATGGAAAGACAGTTCTATACAGAGTCTGAGATTGAAATTTAGTTTAGAGTCCAGATTAACAAATGTTGCCTGGTATGAATATATCAAATAATGATTATTACAGGCATTCCTTCAGAGCCTGAGGGTTATGAATAAAGCTAAGCACAAAGGTTCTTTCCCAGCCTGTAAGAATTCTGAAGATTTCAGAAAGGTCGTGTTAGTATTAGGACAAATCCTTTCACATTTTTCACAAAAGCAGAGATACCCAACCTATTACAGACAATAGTCCAGTGGTAAAGACAGTTGCCTTGGATGCATTAGATATTCAGCTGGATTTAAGTCTCTATTCAGCTGGATTCAGAAAAGGAAATTGAACCAAAGTCGCATGTCTTAAAGGATAATGCCTAACTATTAGGCTCTGGGTATTGTAATGCAGATTTCTCTCAAGGTTTCTTTCTGAGCAGTTCCATTTCCAATAAATTATTATTTGCTATTTGAAATTAAAGCTTTCTAAAGGAATTTGTTTTAAAACTACCCTTGACATAAGAGAGGTTTCAGGTTTGATAAAGCAGTAATTTCTATCAAAAACTCTGTTAAGTTGGAAAAATCCCTATTAGCTTTAGTATTTCCAAGAGTAGATGTAAAAAATTTCAGACATTTGTACACAATCTTCTTCCTTTGTGGCAACACTAAAAAGAGGACAGCAACACCGTGCCATGAGATCTTTTCCTCCTCAACATATCAAGTGATTTAAGACTGAGAAATCATTGCTACTAATCATACACAAATCAACCTCTCCTATAAAGTAAAAATAACAAAATCTGCAATAAAATTAAAAATGTTTTCATGTAAAATTGATCAAGGGAAAACACAACAGCATTCACACTACTCTTTTTTCTACCTAACTCAGAATTAATTTGACTATTTTTATAGCTGGGAGGATAAGGTCTTTAATGTGGGCTTTCACTGACATATGAGTCATATTTACAGTGATTTACTTTTACCCTTCCAATCTATAATCTTGGAAGTATGCTGTTCCCAAATGAAATAGCAATTTTCATGTGATTTGAACTACAAGTCTGTTTTTCTTAGCTTGTTCTTCTATAGCTGATCCCGTATTTGACTATTGCCTTCATCAAGATGCTTACTGAGCACAACATTTAGTTATTGTAACTGCCTTATGCAGGGATTCCCAAACTTCAATGACTGAAAGTCAACCAAAGTCATGTAATATAGTTTATCCATAGTTGTACAAAATTTATTCATTTTTTAAGACTCACCTCTCAAATTTACCACTCCACCAACTCATAGCTTTCTCCTTCTCAATTTTCCCAATCTAAGTTTCATCCAGTCCTCTCTACCTGTCTCTGTCATCATGTAGGTTACTACAGAGTGTTTTTTAGCTATTTATCCCAAATTCATAACCGTGGTACCTAAAGACCCCCTTTAACACACCAACTCACACCCACTTTAAAGCAATTAATTCACCACCATGCTAAGCAGTTCCCTGCACCAATACACACGGAATTATTAATATTATTACAGTCTTTATCAATTTAACTTCTGTTCACTGGGAAAGGAAAGACATTAATGTTATACTGAACAAATGGTAGCCCTGTTAAAGCCAGATTATGGGACAGTGAATGTCCTGTGTGTGGAACCAGAAGTGCTGCCAAAGGAACTGCAGCTAAACCACGAACAACTGGGTACAGGCTGCATCCTTCCTACTTCAGTGCTCTCCTACTACCTAAAAAATTCCCTTGCAATGAAAATAGATACTAGCATGGCAGAAAAAGACTTGTCTTTAAAACCAACCACCTGTCATGAATAGAAGTTTCTATTCCCACCTCCACCACCCCCAGTTCACCATATTACAAAGCAGAAATTTGGCATTTGGATGCCAAACTAGGTGATACATCTACTACCAAGAAAGTAATGTGTAAGGAATCACATTATTTCTCCAGTGTTTTAAACAAGTAGAAACAATCATAGAAAAACTGCCAAGGAAATCTACAGTTTCAATTTTGTACTGTCTGTAGGTCTTCAGACAAAAAATAATGCACAGATGTCATCTCTAAAATTAGCATTTCTATTAAGAAGAAAACCAGACTCATCCTAGTTGATTTTGAACATTGACTTATTCACCAGAATAATTCCACTGATGCAGATAAATACATTTGCATGAATAAGGGCCTGCACTGCAGGACTTCATAAAAACATATATATGGGGAAAAAAAAAGAGCCTAGAAATTGTCAGCAATTTTGACAAACTTTTGTCTTATAACTGTGATGCAGTCAATTTAGTTGGCCATTCCTAAGTTCAGATCTAATACACACTGCTCTACAGTACTACCTGAACAGCACTGATGTGTTCAAAGCAATTTCACTTTTTAAGCTTCAAAACACACTGTTTGTCTCTGGTTCATAACTGTTGATGCACTTTCGAATCACAAATTCTTCTTGTCATCTTGCCTAATTATAACACATTCTTTAAAACTTAACTTTTGTTTGAAAAACAGGTTGATGAAATCTCTCAGTTCTACATTCAAAAGAGCTGCTAAATTAAACTAATTAAAAGCCTAAAAATGTAGGAATTCAAAATGGGTAGTGAGAAGAATTTAGACATGTGTAGCCAAAATTATGATCCTGGAGATGTTCCTACCCAGAGATGCTCATACCCCATCCTGGAGATGTTTCTGGTGGCAATAAAGGCTTTGATGGTAATACAGGCCAGACCCAGAAGTTGGATCTCTGTGCAGGGCCAGAGTTTACCTGCTCAACCAGGGTGCTTCTTCTCATGGCTCAGCTTCTGCCCAATCCTGTGGGGAGCTGCACAGCTGCTCTGAGGAGTTGGACCCACCAGGTACTCTCAAAGCCAGCCTAATAAACACCAACCAGGTGGGCTCCCTACGAATCCTTCTGGTGCTATTTCTTTCTAAAACAACACATGAGCACCAGTCATTCCCAGCCTGGCAGCAGCTCTGCTCATCCCAGAAGCCAAATCCCCACATCCCATTCCTTCTTCAGCCTCAGACCCAGCAATGTCCTTCAGCAGAACATTCCATCAGTTGGCCAAAGGCTGCAGTAAATGCTGGGGGCAAGGAGAGGGAGACATCAAAGTTCTACCACTGAAGCTCTCTCATTGTACAGAAAATAATTCAAGATTCATTGGGCTGGAGAAAGAACACAAGAGGGAGCAAGAGTCTGTAGCCTAGTGATTTGGGCACTCAGCTGGGAAAAGGAGTTCTGGGTTCCTGGCCTGTGCTCCATAGAAGGTTCCTGCAATTTACCTGAGATTCTTTTAACAATCTAAATCTTAGCTTGAATCTGGCCATGTTTTCCTTCCTGATCCAAGTCCATAAATAAGACTTTGTTTGCAAACATCAACATATCTCTTGTATACTTTTAGTGCTAAATTTTAAATAGGAAACATCAATAAAACTGAAATGTGTCAAAATCTGAAAGCTTATTTCATATTCACTTTCCTTTATAATACTTGAAATACAAGAATTTACTTGTGATCAGGTTAAAAATACTATTAAAATGAAAATACATGGTTTTACCTGTGTCAATAATGCTGTTTGGAACCACTAAATTGGAAGTTATTTTTTCATCTCCTTGTCAGGATGAGGTAAGATTTTTTAGAAGTTATAAAAATAGTAATAGCCTTCTAACATCTTTATTCTGCTCAGTTTCTGATTCTCACTTAACAGTATTTTCATTTGCTGTTTCTCATTCCCTAGAACAACAGTGCAATGTCATGCAGGCGACTTTAAATCCAAGCGAGGTTACCCTGAAATTCCCACTCCAACAATTTCATGGACATATTTCTGGTTTTGCTAAACATTCTTTTCATAATAGCTTCATTTTGGGCCTAAGCCTACATAACAGGGTCCCTTTAAATAATATTCCGTGCCTTGAAACATATTAAAAAAACTGTTATATCAAGGCGAGTTATGCAAGGGCTCTCTATGGTTTTAGCATATTTACTCTGTCACGCCATGTGTGAGACTGCAGCCTCCACAACAAAACCTTTACACACTGAAGTCATTATCTCTGTGAAGTCTGCAACTGGCATTTAAAACTTATTGATGGCCTGGGTATTGGTGGCTCAGTAGGCAGCACTCTTGCCGGAGGCCCGGGAGGTCAGGGGTTCACATTCTGCTCAAAGAACAAGTTGGACATATTCCAGGTTTGTGTGTGGGCTGTGCTACACTCCTAAAGGGGCAGTCCTTAGGACAGTAAGTGAAACCTTGGCTTTTTGGGGATATCAAAGTTCTCCTGCAAAGGGAAGAGGAAGAGTAAGAAGAAAGTTTAACAAGTGAATGAACATGATTGCGCTGGCTGGGGACCTGGATTTGGTTGTGTGCTAAATAAGGAACGGTCCAGCTAGAGTACACGGAATAAGTTTAAAGAAGCTGCCACATTTTAGTCTCTGTGGTCAGCACATATTCAAGGGAGAGGTACAGACTCCAGGCATGCTCAGTCTCAGTCAACTTCCTCAATAGCAGAGTGAATTTGGATTCAATTTCACACCACAGAACTATGAAAATACATGTGCAGTTTCAGCAACTGACCAGTCCAAACAAAATCACTTTAACACTGGAGCAGCTTCCACCCATACTATACAATCACTGAAAAAATATCCAGCCAAATATCCAAGTCAAAACTAGCAACACATATAGAGAATAATATAAATCAAGATTCAACCTGCTCTGGTGTTATACTTTGATACTTGAATATCCCAGATGTCTCCCTCCTCCTCTTCTTCTTTATAGACAGGTAAAGATGGATCTCTTGAAGGAACTGGGGATCACACTCTAGGCAAAGGTTGGACAGGTGATCAATGTACAGCATGAGATTTTGCCGTGGCTATGTGCCTCCAACAGTGACTGGATCATCTGGTTTAGAAAAACAATTCAAAATTGTAATATTTTCTAAATCACTTATAAGGGAAAAATTAGCAAAAGGGAGAACATGTAATTTTTATAACATGGAATATATCACAGAACGTCTTTCCATCATCATATATTTAATTTCAAAAATTCATTTATTTCCTATTTAACATTTAGTTCATTAACTTTTCAGTTCCTTGAAGTCAGTCTTGAGAAGACTGCATCCCATTTGCACTTGCAGAATATGTTCAAAAGTTACCAGTGTGATATGAAGTTACTGTTATAAGTGTCAATATATATTTTTTTGGCATCTAGATCTAGACACAACCCTACAAAGTTCCAGGGCCAGGCCCAGCCCATTCCTTAATCAGATTTTGGGACCAGCCAGTATTTATCAACCAACTGGGATTCTACTCTGCAGTGCTCTTCAGGAGGTAAGCACAGAGGTTAAAGTTTTGTTAATGAAGATACATCTCCCAACACTCCCTTCTGTCAATAGAAAGAGCATTTTCTAAAGGACCATTCAGAGAACTTGAATGATACCTTTTCTTCCAGTATTTAGGAACACCATCTTTTATCCATCTATCTTTTATATGGTGCCTTCTTTTCTCTTTTTCTTTTACCATAATGGAAAAACAAATACTGTCCTCCTTCCCAGAAATTTCCATTAGTATAATGGATCTTTAGGTTTAAGTTTGGTGAAATCAACCTGTATTTAAGCAACAGTGTTTACACATGGTAAAAGAGATAATTAATTACAAGCATCATGACATCTCTAGGCTATCACACAATTGATGTATAAGCAACGAGCTGCTTAAATTAAACAAGATATTGATGGCATTATTTCAAGTTCAGAAACAGAGGAACTCCTAACATAATACCAGTGCAAATTTGCAAAGAATTATGCGTTCATTTTGTCACTAAAATATGAAAAGGAGCTATTTCAAGGAACGAAGGATGTCCTCTTAACCTGCAACAACAAATTTGTTTGGTTTTTTCTCTTCTCAGTAAGAAAGCAATTAGGATTTTTTCCAATAAAAATATCCTTGTCCATATATAAACACTCCTGGTAATCATGTAATTACCTTACCCAATCAGATTAAATTGCTGTCAGTTGAGTTCCCACCATTGATTAACTTTTGTGTACTCTGAACCTAAATGAAGTCTTTGGTAAAGTCACTTAGTCATTTACAAAGGTGTCTCTATGATTCCAAAAAGGGTAACAGCAGTATATTATTTGCTATAATCATCAAATATCCAAGGTCAAAGATAGATCACAGTGGACCCTTTTTTTAAACCCAAAGAAACACAGAATTAAACCATGTTGCTTATTTTTGTGTTTCTTGTCATGACTTCTAAATGTAATAGTAACCTTTGACCCCCCCCATATTAAACACCATAATTATGTAATTAAAACTAATTATGCAATTTAACATACATATTTTTGTCCTACAACAGGCAGGTCAATTACCTCACTCATTGACCTTGGAAGCTTTCACAGTTTAAACAAAACAATGAGGCTTTCAATTAATTTTAAAGTACAAACAGAGAAGGAGCAGCTGAACCACAAATCCTTGCACTGATACTGCATGGAGGGATCACTTACAAACCTCTTCATTTTGGATTCCACAGACTAAATCCCTTGATAAAAGCTGTTAAACATCTTTCTTCTATGTTGCTATCATTAGAAATGTTAACACATTTGTGAACAAAAGATATATGTACTTTATTTGCTAAATGCAAGAAAGGAGACCAAATAATACATTATCCCACTTCTTTTCTTCAGTACTGTTTCCTCTGCTTCCTCCCATACTTCATTGCCTCTATCCCTGTTTCATCACCTCTTTCTGAAGTCTCTTTCTCTCCCCTGTTTTCTTCATTATCTTCTCTGTTCCATTTCTAGCTGTAAAGTTTATCATAATATCAAACTGCTGTAGCTGTTGTGTTCTCCAGTTTCCATCCACATCCCTGACCCCATTCACAGGGTTTCCCAGCAGGTCTTGGCACCAGCTGCCTTCTGATGATGATCCAGCTGAGAGGGAACTTTGGACTGCAGAAAGCTACATGGTACATGCTCTAAAATGAATTTTCCAGAGAGGGAAGTTTGGTACAAGTGAGAGACAATTTATGAAATTGTTGAAATATGTTTCACCTTGATAATATCTTTTTTCTCTTTAAACACTTAGGTAAGCTCTATATACTGCACTGCAGGTTTTTCAAATTGTACAAGAGAGACTCATGCAATATTACATTATATCCAAGGAACTTGTTCAAAGAATAAAATTAGCATTATCATGTAACCACATGTTTATTCTTCAGTAAACTAGATCCCATTCTCTAAAGAATAATTCTTAAAGCAAGTACAAGCCCAGGAGCTCAGCATTAAAAAGGATCATGTTCTACTATCCTACTTTTTTCAGTTGCTATATTGACCACAAATAGATCCAGCTGAGTTAATAAGCTTAGGTGTGAAATAAAGGGACAGACCACATATACATAAATACTCCCTATATATATATATACACACCCCATATATATATATGCATACATATACATATACCAATAATGCTTTAAGTTGTTTTCTCTAAACCTTGTTTCATGTGGGGATCAGAAAATAGCTACTGGAAAAACACATATGAAAATCTTTCCTGACTTCTTGAAAGTATGGCAAAAAGACCTACAGTGCACTTTGTGCTTTGGTGTCGTTTCTAACACCATTTTTGGAGTCCTTTCAGTTCTCTGCTTTAATTAGGCCTGACTTGCACAAGGAGCTTGAAAAGATTTCAGTAAACCCTTGACATAATGGAAACAAGGAGCACTGAACTCTGAATGAGGAGTTACAACAGGAAAGAAACAATTTAAGATGGTAGCAGGCCTTATTGCAACATTAAACCTCAAATTGGATCTGATTTACACAAAGTAAACCAATATATTGAAATAGTGCCCCAAATTTCTGGACAAACATTTGAAGGAAAATAATACAGTGCATGTGTAGAAATTCTGTCCAAGGGACTGGAGGAGATTATTCCTTATATTCTCATTCAACAAAAAGGTTCCTTCTGTTTTGAACGGAACATTAAAATTCTAATTCAGCTCATAGAGCATCCCAAACAGAGCAGCAAAAGAATCTGTGAAGGAGCCCAAATATGGTGCTATTGAAACAGAGTGGATTAGAAGAATTGGGATAGAATCCTACAAGTGGCTAAGCAGCAGCAGGAGGTCAGCTTCACAAACAGCAGGATGCTGTTCTTGCCAGACGTGAGTGACATAATACAGGCAAAACAATCAAGATTTCAGCTGATAAATGTATGCCTGAGGAAAAGGCCTTGCTGTACAACTTTCATAAGCAAAAATATTTAAGCAAATTCTCCAGACCTAATTTACACAGGAGAGCATTTTTTCTTATACAAACTTGTCATGTTAACCGTGCAGGGCAGAATTCTTTGTAATATAAAGACAATAATTTTAAGAACCTAAATGTAGAAAATACAGGAGTCTTTGCTGAATTATTCACTAAATGGATTAAACAAAGAGCTTTCATAGGTTGATTCAGCTTCAAATGTGTCCCAAGCAATTCTGTGTATATTAGGATAATATACATAAAAACATTAGCTCCAAATATCTAGGATATCCAGAAAGAATAACAGAATCTATGTTGCCCCATTGGTTATCTATAAATTGCATCCATCACTAGTATTAGACAAGTTTGAAGGCTCGGAAGGGAACAGTCGCATTTATAAGGAGACATTGAGATATTAAAGTAAGATGATCAACAAATCATTTTGGTTTCTCAATTTTCTGGTATTATATTAAATCAGACTTTAAACATCTATTTTTCACTTCTACTATTTTAAAAATATCTTTTAAAAGGCTGAGATTCCACTGAGATTCCACTTATTTTCTACTTTCTGCTATGTGCAATTAAAAGAAAATTTGTTCAATTGCTTTTTAGCTAGGGAAGTGCAAAACATCATGCATAAAACATTCATCTATCTACCCCAAATTCTTCCCTGCCCTCTGCAAAATATCCTTTTGGGCTAAATACTTTTTCAAATCTGAAATAAGTTGTAATTCGGAGGTCAGATTCCAGCCTGGAGCAGAGGCCAAACTTCCTCTAGACTCTTAGGACATTGTGAAATAATAATTTCTACATGGTGCAGCTGACTGTTTTCATTCAGAAACCAGATTAAAAGGCAATTGGGCCTATAAGAACAGGAGTGTTTAAGGAAGCAGGACAGAAAGAAGGCCAACCAGGAGCTTAAGGGCACAGAGCTGCCCTGCCGTGGCTTGGGCAATCACATCAGAATACCGTGGCATTAGCAGAAGACACCTGAGGACGCTGCCCTTTCTCCACATGGCCAGGAGCTCTTCTGTGATCTGACCACAAAGGGGGCATTTCACACCACAGGGACCTTGACAGAGCATTTTGCTCTGTATTTTGGTAACTTGATGCACATGGGAATAATCTACAGCCATTCCTGCTGGGGAAAGACCAGACTTCAGGGCAGGCCAAGCTTGTGCTACCTGGCTCCAGTCCATGGATCTTGTAGCAAGCTGGCCCCCTGTGATGTCAATGTGCATGATTTCTGGAGATCTTTCACAAAGCCATATGACCAGGAATTTGAAAAGACGTGGAGACAGCCATGGCATTGAGCAGTTCCTGCTCAGCTGGAAGAGGAGGTGATGCTGCTCCTCCCCCACCTGCAGTTGTGCTGTTCCTGAAGCCCAGAGTCATCCTGTTCTCACCCCCACGGGCAGTGGCACTTATTTACATGCACGGGTGTGCTGCACATTCAAACCTGCTTGGTACGGAGCAGAGCAGCTCAGGAAAAGATGATTAAGACATGGTGCTGAGCTAAAAACTGGATAATGCTTTGTGAATATCTGTTTTGGCCTTTCCCCAAATGTCTTCCCCCAAGAAGTGAGAGAGGACAGCTGGAGCAGACAAACTTTCTGTACCCAAGAGACTGTTTTTCTTTCCTTTGAAGGTATTACTTGCCTGTTAT